GCCGCAACAGCCCGCGTATCGCTCGCGTTCGGCTTAGTGCGCCACCAGGCTGATTATTGCTGGACGTAGTTGAACATCGGTGGAAGTTGGCGAGTGGCCGAGTGCATCGACCTCAGCCCACCACGAGCCATTCGAATTGCCGGGGCGCGCGCGCGAAAGAGAGCCGAACAGCATCAGCCAGCCGTCGTCTCGTCCAAGTATGGCGATGGACAAGATGGATCTGGAGAAGTGGAAGCAGATATCCGTGAGGGGTATCGTCGACGTCGAGAACGTCGTCAACTTCAAGAAGACCTTCAACAGACATCTCCACTACACGCTCGTTAAGGACCGGAATGTTGCGACACCGCGTGATTACTACATGGCACTAGCTCACAGTGTCAAGGATAATTTGGTCTCCAGGTGGATACGCACGCAACAGTATTACTACGAGAACGATCCCAAGGTGCTTCATGTTCCGAATATCCATCAATTTCACTCTCCATTCCCGTTGCGTTTGTTTACAAGCTGTGCGCGTGTGTGCGGGCTCGCCGCCTCGTTGCCGCCCATTGCGCGCTCTCGACTCTTTGTTCCTCGTGTTTACTCCCCCATCTCGCTCGACCTTTTTTTCCCTTTCGATTAACGGCCACCGAGCTGATCCTAATAAAGTTTTCGTGCCGCGAGTAGTTGACCAAAAGTGCACGCGAGCCCATGTCATTTGTTTAACGATTGGTTGGGATGGACGGGAAGAACTGGAGGGAAACTAACCTTATCGGCTCGTGCTTCGCTAAGAAATTTAATTATTTTATGGAGCTCTACGAATTTCCTTCATTTTCTTTCTTTTTCATAGCATTGGCAGAGGAGTCGTTGGCATCTGTGCGAGTCTGGCCTCTGTCATGTCGAGCTTCGGGAATATGGTGTTCGCGCGACCAAGGAGCCGACGTTTTTTCCGACAAATTTACGAATACGAATGACCGTGTAGACGCGCCCCACGTCTAACCCCCCACGACTTATTCATCTTTATGATTGCGCACGACGGCTGGTGCGATGGTAATAAAATTGTCGAAAGCTCGGGCCCGATGCAATACTAATTCAACCTTTCGTCGTTGCCATCCGTTATAACATTCCTCCGCGTGCCAAATTCCAAATGCAAAAATCATCATGCTCACTCGCAATATTTATTGTCTACCGACTAATTGAAGCCTGGACAATGAGCAGATTGTACTGTAAAAATAAAGTTCAAATGGTCGAGCTCATTGTCCCTTGGATCTAGAGACGCTGTCAAGCGACCATAAAACGACAATAAAAACGATAATCTTGATTCATCACATACCAATTCACGTAGATCCTATGAATATCATATTATATATATATAATCCTATTGATGGTAGATTTAAGCGATACAGATAAAAGAAGATCGTAAAATAGATTTCAGTTCATTTATTTAATAATATATTGTTTCGGGTTTTTTTTTTATTTTTTATTTTTTCCCCCTCGTATTCAACATGTCAAATGATTCTGTTATATTCTGTTATATTGTTCATGTTACATACAAAGACTTCCTTTATCGTATTAATATACAATGAAATGATATGTCAATCATTTGCATGAACAGATCGGATGAAATCTTATAAACAAAATATTTCAAGATACTTATTTACAATAACATTAAGATAACATTTGTAAGTATAAATACGATTTAATTGGCATATTAGCTTTTCGTGCAATTAAACGTCTAACAATGTCTTGTAGTCCAAGACTTTTAAAAAAACTACAAATATTTTTATTTTCAATGCACACAAACATAATACTTTATCTATTTGTTGATATATTAAAAAAAATTACCTCTTTTTCCCAATGTATTATTTATTGTAAGTTAAACTTTTTCTTTCTTTCTTTTTTTCTTTTGCAATTTGTATAAGCAAATGTTCGTGGAGTTGTTTTTTTATTGCACAATTGAAAATCAACAAATTTTCGCACTGCTATTGATCGATAATATTCATTAATAGACGATCGAATTCCTTCTCTATATTTCTTAAAATTCACAAAATTATGTTCAGTTAGCAGCAAAAAAGATGTCCAACGTTTATTTATTAGATTGTCAATAAAATCATTGAATCTGTTTAATGGTAACGTTTTTTCTCTTTCGTAATGTAACTTTTAAGAGATATAAAAATATTTCCGTACATGTTAAATGCGTAATTTTTCACGTTCCAATATACATATATATATATATATATATATATATATATATATATATATATATATATATATATATATATATATATATAGAGTATATAATATATATATATATATATATATATATATATATATATGAATCGAGTATATTTTTCAATCGGATTAATTTATAAAATACACATTTAGTAAATTGTGTAGCATTTTGAATTAAAATATAAAAATAAAAAAAAATAAACAATTTTTCTCTTTCTTTGAACAGTTTTATTATTAGCAACAATATGTTTATCTCAATATAATGTATATATTTACATGTAGTTGCAATTTTTTTATAATTGCGTTTGAAAAAAAAGAAGAAAAAAAGAAAAGAAATACTCGGTAGTAACAACTAACCGTTTCGCTTAAACTTGTTTTACGTAATCTTAAGCTATTTTGAGAAAATCTAAGATATATATATATATATTTAAGTACTTCAACATTTAAACTAAATTTCTTACTTTCAACTCTTTCACTCAACATATAAACATTTTCATAATAAATTTTAATGATTTTTATCAATATTACTTATGATTGTAATTAATTAGTTATAATATAACGACTTTTTTTTTTTTTTTTTTTTTTTTTTTTTTTTTTTTATAAAATAATGCTTCTCTATGTTACTTTTGTTATTCTATTAATACAGTTTTTTAAGTTTACATTTGTCATATAATTATATTAATTATTGCTAGGTATTTTATACGTATTCATTACATAAAAATTCATTTTTATTTCTATAATGCATTATTTCTCGAGTTTCATAGTTATCAATTCAATATATATATATCAGTTTGGACGCTATAAGTATTATCAAAGCACCGTTTTACGAAGCAATTCTTTTGCAAAATTACAAATGAACTTTTTAATATTTCATTATTTTTACATATTGTGAATTGTCTATTTTATTATTTCAGAAGTAAGAAAATTATAATTGCAAATACAAAAATTAATTTTTTTCCTTACTTAATTTTATGCATTTTTTTTCTTTTTTTTTTTCTAAAATTTCAATTATTTTCGTACACAGTTTCATACATTATTTTATATGCTAAAAGATAAGAGTAATTAACAAAGAGGTTAATGACAGTGAATAAATGATTAATAAAAAATCGATAATTTAAAATGTAATCAAATTTTATGCCACAGACGTTTAATTACAATGTTTTATTTTTATTTTAGAAGCGTACGTAAAGAATAATTCGTTGCACTGCTTAAAGTAGTTTTACTTAGTAAAAACATTTGTCTAACGTATGAGCGCGAATAGTTGAAGAAATTTTTAAATGACAAATATTCAAAATTTCTTATTTATGTGTGCTGATTTGACTAAAACTGTTTAAAATTATGATTGAATGAGACTAATTGAAGTTCGTGTATATTATTCTTAAATATAACTTATAATGAACATTTTTCACGAAAATGCTTCAATCAAAAGTATTCCAAATAAGTAAGAAATATACAAATCTTGAATAAAATTAGTTAATCTTTTTCCCAAAAATTACTATTACTTAACTGGTGTTTGTTGTACTTATTTATAATTCTTCAATTTTATTACACCATTCTCAATTATTTTTTTTCAAATCCTTACCCTTAAAATATCTATACATATCCTTTTTTTTTTTTTTCATGCATTTGTGGAAAATACTTTAAACATTCCTTTTCGGATAGTTTCTTTTTAATAATTCTAAACAATGTATACTTATTATATAAATCTTTGATTCACGATATTATAGCTGGACAATCGTCGCAATTGTATTTAATGAACTGGAGATATAAAGAAAAAGGCAAATAGCAGAATATTGATTAAAAAGTGTTATCATCTTCGACCTTAATATTACTTTTGGGCGCTATGAAACTCTTCTGTATCAGTGTAGATGATTCCACATAGATGTTTAAATTTATAGATTATACACTGTATAATTAAAAAGTACATCAGTTTATAATGTACATTAAACGGTATTAACGTTTCACTAGTCATTCAGATTTGTAACTTACCATGTATGTGTATATATATATATATATATTTTGTTTTTTTTTTTTGTTTTTATTAAACATTATTAGTAGAAATATGACACGCACAGCCACTCAAAGAAAAAAGTTTTCTCAAATGCCTTGCTATTTAAGAAATTATGGATCATCATTTATAAAAAAATATTTTTATATAATTTATCAAAACATTGAAATATGTAATTTATGTTTTTTTATGAATCCTGGTTGCTCCTGTTGCTAAAAAAAATTTATATTAATAAATATTTGTATGAAATATGCTATGAAATAATTGCTACAGGCGTAAATATATATAATAGTGACAGAAAGTCTCATTTGTTAAATAAAGCGTTAAAAAAAAAGTTTTTTTTTTATCAAAATTGCATCTAAATATAATCTTTAATTAAAATCTAAATCATAAAGGTGCACAGAGTATTAAAAGAAGTCATATATCTTATCCTTAAGTATACGTTCATTAAACTTTTCTGGTTAAAGTATAAATATACGAAATATAAATATACCGCATAAATCTGAATAAAATCGCGAATTTCTGTTCATGCCAATTTTATACAAGCAATATAAAAATTATTGTTTTTTATCATATTTCGTAAATAATGTCAAATATTTTCAAATTAATAATGAATTGTGAAATCTATTACTCATATATCTAATATTAAAATACATTATAATTTTACATTATAATTTATTAATAAAATTATTTTATACTTTGAAGATTTTAATCATTAGAGACATTTTTTTTTTTGTTTTTATTTTTATTACATATTTTAAATAAACCGGATGACGATATATAATATGACCTGGTAGACCAATATTGCTTGATCATATAGAATTTCCCAGAGCTAATGGAAAATACAGTGGAATGTATTACAAAATATATGCTATAAGGTAGATGTAGAGGCACTGCTATGTAAAAATTGAGGTAATTTAAGTACTTTGAACATGTGCATGCGTCGTGCATATATTTATATAATACTTTAGTCGACGTTATTTCTTTGCTTCTTAGCTGTTTCACGATTAAAACTTCTAATTTTGTAATATATCTATCATGTTATAATTAATTTTTCGTTTTTTTTTTTTTTTTTTTTTTTTTTTTTTTTTTTTTTTTTTTTTTTTTTATATATCGTTTTTAATATAAATTTCAATATTGTTTTTTTATTTTCAATAAAATTTCTTTGTTCTTTCTTACTTACTAAATTATCAACAAAATGATATAGTAAAAAACGTACATTTTATGTGTAAAAATACTTTTTGGCAAGTGAATTCTAAACTGAATCGTTAATAATACATTTTGTATTTCATATTTTTACCTTCACATCATCATAAATTCTTAACTAAATGTAATATATTAGAAAATGTTATTAGGATGATTTTCTTTATACGTTCAATACACGATACAAATGCTCTGTTTATGGTAAGAATCTGATTGGATTAAGTCGTAAATTTTGTAGTGAAACAAAAAACAATGGAATCCACTAGTTTAATGATTCGCTTTGTATTGCAATTTTAAATAATATTTTTTGTTTTTTCATCCTTTTGGGATTATTGTTACTTATGAAAAGTCGAAAAACTTCATTAGATAAAAAGTACGTTTTAATTACAATTTTCAAGATTGAAAAATTACAAAAATGTTCATTTAGAATATAATTATATTTATTTTCTTCTAAATAGATACAAATCACAAAGTAATTATGTATTCATAATATTTAGTAAGAACAACCATTAATTTTGAAAGACGATATTATCGTAAATTTGTGGTTTACGATGGGAAAGAACGAAAAATAATTTTATACTTTTTCTTACGTTAATTATTTTGTGCATTTTTTTCGCCTCTTTGCATAAAATTTAGCCAAGAGAAGATACATTATTGTGGTATTATCGCCGATATTTACCCATAATAATGATTTAATTGGAAATAATTGCCGGCATACTTTGTGATAATTTGTGATAATAAAATATTTTATTTTAATAAATGTTTCAGAGATGTTATTATCTTTCTCTCGAGTATTATATGGGAAGAACTTTACAGAATACGATGATAAATTTGGGCATTCTGGGCGCATGCGATGAAGCTATGTATCAAGTAAGTACAATTGTTATTAGAAATAGGTAAATGTCTATTCGTTCTCATGTAGCAATTGTGATTATACGATCTTAAGAATATAATGAAAAAAACTACTTTAATTTATGAACCGAAACGGTTACGGAAACGGATGATGGTAAGTCCGAGGGAACGTGAAACGCACGAATAACTTATCGGTCAATGTAACAGCGACATCGATCGCAGATTACGAAGCAACTGGTATCCTTTCGTTTTCATCACATTAGATGGGTATGCTGATAGAGGACTTGGAGGAGCTGGAGGAGGATGCCGGGCTTGGTAACGGCGGTCTTGGGCGCCTCGCCGCTTGCTTCTTGGATAGTATGGCGACTCTGGGCCTTGCGGCCTACGGCTACGGCATACGCTACGAGTACGGCATCTTCACCCAGAAGATCAAGAACGGTGAGCAGGTCGAGGAGCCCGACGATTGGCTCAGGTACGGTAATCCCTGGGAAAAGGCCAGGCCCGAGTACATGCTGCCCATTAATTTCTATGGACATGTTATCGATACACCGGAGGGTAAGAAGTGGGTTAACACGCAGGTACGTTTGAGAATTATTTGTTTGTAGTCGCGTTTTGTAATGTAAATGTCATGTAATGTAATGTTTAATTTCAGGTCGTGTTTGCCATGCCCTACGACAATCCCATACCGGGGTATAAGAACAATGTCGTTAATACTCTGAGGTTGTGGTCAGCAAAGTCGCCAGTCGAGTTTAATTTGAAATTTTGTAAGTATTTATTTATAATTACTCGATGGTATTGATGAAAGCTCACAATAATCATTATGTCTTTCTCTCTCTCTCTCTCTCTCTCTCTCTCTCTCTCTCTCTCTCTTTGTTATTTTAGTCAACGATGGCGATTATATTCAAGCTGTGATTGATAGAAATCTCGCCGAAAATATCTCAAGAGTACTCTATCCCAACGACAATTTTTTCGAGGGAAAGGAATTACGTTTGAAGCAGGAATACTTTATGGTTGCAGCTACTCTCCAAGATATCATTCGTCGCTATAAATCTAGCAAATTTGGTTCGCGCGAACATCACAGAACGGATTTCGACTCTTTTCCAAATAAAGTGGCCATACAACTGAACGATACCCACCCGTCGCTCGCGATTCCCGAACTTATGAGAATACTTCTTGATATCGAGGGTCTTCCTTGGGAAAAGGTTTGTAAAAGCTCAATGTTTGCGAAAATTTTACAAATAAATGTTTTAATATCCGATTTACTAGATACGCTCGACGATTTAAGATGAAACGTCGCTCTTCTCATATCGCAACTAATTGTTAGTCATTGATTAGCATTTCCTTACATTTAAAGATCTACATCGTTATTTATACTTATCGTATAATTATATAATGAATAATCGTAAAATTATTGCTCTTAGGCTTGGGATATCACAGTTCGCACTTGCGCATATACAAATCACACTGTATTGCCAGAGGCTTTGGAGCGATGGCCAACAAGTATGCTGAACAGCATTCTCCCAAGACATCTTGAAATCATTTATCATATTAATTTTCTACATCTTAAGGAAGTTGAAGCTAAATTCACGGGCGATCTCGATCGTCTGCGGCGTATGTCTCTCATAGAAGAGGAGGGCGAAAAGAGAGTGAATATGGCGCACTTGTCTATCGTCGGCAGTCACGCTATTAACGGTGTCGCTAAAATTCATTCGGAAATATTGAAAAACACTGTGTAAGTAAGCTGGCATTCACTGCCAGGTAATTAACGAGTACACTCATTAATTATCAGCGAAATTTTATATTCTCTTATTCTCACGTCATATCAGATTTCGTGATTTTTACGAACTTACGCCGGAGAAATTTCAAAATAAAACCAATGGTATAACGCCCAGAAGATGGCTATTGCTATGTAATCCAAGCCTCTCCGATGCAATTGAAAAGGTCAGAACATAAAAAAAAAACTATTATTATCATTGTCATTATTGCTATTGTTATTGTTATTTAAAATAATAAAATTAATTATTTAAATGGATAACGTGTAGATTATAATGAATTATTGACAATTATTCTCGTGAACATTGTCGGATGGATGATTATTGATTAGATCTCATAAAAACTTTTTTAATTCAAACGAACATTCATTTTGTAAAAATATCCTTTCTGTCGTAATATCGATGGCCTGCCACTTAGAGTTCATTGTATTAACAGAAAATTGGAACTGATTGGACTACGCATTTAGAGCAGCTTATACAGCTGAAAGAGTGGGCCAAGGACATTATGTTCCAGCAGGCTGTTAATCAAGTTAAACAGGAAAATAAGATGAAGTTGGCGAAAATTCTCGAGCATGATTATGGCATTAAAGTAAATCTCTCGTCGATCTTCGATATCCATGTCAAACGAATTCACGAATACAAGCGGCAATTACTCAAGTGCCTGCACGTAATCACACTGTACAATCGTATTAAAAGTAATCCAAATGCTTACATAGTTCCACGAACGGTAATGATAGGCGGTAAGGCCGCTCCCGGCTATCACCTCGCCAAGAAAATTATTAAACTTATATGTAGTGTGGCGAATGTTGTTAACAACGATCCGATAGTCGGAGATTCCTTGAAGCTGATTTTCTTGGAGAACTATAGAGTCTCTTTGGCTGAAAAGATTATTCCTGCCGCTGATCTAAGTGAGCAAATTTCAACCGCTGGTACCGAGGCTTCGGGTACTGGTAACATGAAATTCATGGTACGTTTTATCATCTTCTCTGTCATTATTGAATTACTTTGGGCTTTTGTTACCTAAGCGATAGTCTTCCACGTGCACCTATTCAATTTCATAATTAACATCGTTTCTTTCACAATGCACGTACGCCTATTTTGTCTTTATCGATCTTTTTTTTTTTTTTTCTTTTTCTTTTTCTTCTCATCGTTAACTTCAATTAATCGCTGTTATTATTATGTATGATGTATTGTTTGCAGTTGAACGGCGCATTGACGATTGGCACCCTCGATGGAGCGAACGTCGAAATGGCCGAGGAAATGGGCGAGGAAAATATATTCATTTTTGGTATGAGCGTAAACGAGGTGGAAAATTTGAAGAAACAAGGATATAATGCCTATGATTATTACAATAGTCTACCAGAGGCGAAAAAGTGCATCGATCAAATTCGGGGAGGATTCTTTAGTCCTAATAATCCAAACGAGTTCCAAGATATCGTCGATGTTTTACTTAAATTTGACAGATTCTTTCTACTGGCTGATTTCGAAAGCTACATTAAATGCCAAGATATTGTATCGGAAACCTTTATAGTAAGTACAAGAGATATAATTTTATTTAAAAAAAAAAATATATATATATATATATAAAAACTTTACTACCTACGTTTTCTCATTAGAATGGACCAAAATGGATGGAAATGATTATTAATAACATCGCCTCATCGGGTAAATTTTCTTCGGATCGAACAATCGCCGAATATGCTCGAGATATTTGGGGTGTCGATCCTAATTGGCAAAAGCTTCCCGATCCTCATGAGCCTCGTGACATTTAAATAATTTAAATAATTATCGTATAATGAAATGTCCTATTTCATTGATTAATATGCATTGGAAATCGAAATATGCACTCGAGATTACTCTTCTCCTCTCCATATTCGGTTGTCTTGTAAATGCCGCTCAATCCAAAGCTAAATTATTGGTATCGTGTTCTCATACATACTTTTAATGCTGATAAATTTTTACTTTTTAAACAAAGTCCTAGGATCCATTATTGAGAATTATCGTTTCGTAAAAAAAGAGAAAAAAAAAAAAAAAAAAAAAAAAAAAAAAAAAAAAAGAAGAAAAAAAAAAGGAAAATAATTTTTATAAATTTTTAAGACGTGTTAACATAACAACATAGAGGTTGAATTTGAGAACATTGCAATAATCATTATATACATTATTACCAATACATACGAACGATGTCAGTCTAATGCACAAACTTATACTGAAAGTTATTTACTGTATTTTTATAACAGTTTACTATCCATGTAATATATTTGATAATTCTTTCTTTTTCTTTTTGTTCTTTTTTCTTTTATACACACATAAATGGCATTATTTATATTAATGTAGAATGCAGCAACTAACTTTTAAGTCGATAACTAAAAAGTACTTTTAAAGTTTTCATTAGCATATGCCTTTAGTTCTTTTACGTTGTAACAACAGTTGAAAACTCACTCAAACCGTGCATGTTTAATTTTTCATTTTTCTACTTTTTAGCTTCACAAACATTGCAATAGCATAATTAAATTTATTTTATATCGAAGAAAATTCTATTTTCTAAATATGATTGTTTTGTTATTAATCTCGTAGATCTTGTATAATACTTGTTTTGAAAATATTTTTTTTCAATATATAATTGTTTTCAAAAAAAAAAAAAAAAGTTATTTAATATATTTTAAATATTTTATACTGAATTAATTAATAAGGCTTTTAAGATTTAGTATGAATATTTTGCGCATATGTTCTCATTTAAAAAAAAAAAAAAAAAAAAAAAAAAAAAAAAAAAAATAATAATAATAATAATAATAATAATTATACGATACCTAAGAATTTTATAGGCTTAGTGATAACTTTTTTTTTTTTTTTTCGCATAGGATTATTAAAATACTCATACAATAAAATATTGATAAAATTTCATAATCATGTTGAGAAGAATACTGAAAATCTTATTTTTTTATTTACTTCTTTTTTTTTTTTTTTTTTTTTTAATATTTCAAATTTATAGAAGCGCAATCGATATTAAATATTGTTACTGTTATTGATAATAATTAAAATAATTATAAAAACCAAAAAAAAAAAACAAAAAACAAAGCGAAGACTGGATATTTTATATTGTAAAAGTAAATTGCAAATTTATCTGTATAATTCAGATTGTTATTTTTATTTAACCGTCTGAATATTCTTATAAGAATATGAAAGTGAGACAAAAATATACAATATAAGAATGAAAAACAATATTTACATGTGGTTGTTATTTGTTAATTAAATTTAATGTGAGTGTGTGCTTGTGCTTGTATATTGTTTTGATTTTTTTATTTTATTTGATAACGATGAGCAAATATTATGTAATTATTTCAAATCTGAAATCGACCTTTACGACTTTCTTACAAATGAGATTATTGTTTTTAATATATAACATTCTACAACTTTTATTGATATCATTAAAAATTTATTATGTGAATGAAAAAAAAAATTTTTTTTTTAAAAGGTTAAAAATTATACAGCAATATTATACTCGGCTAATTCATTAATACAGCATAATTATTTAGTTTTTCGTTTCTTTTTAAATAATTTACATTTATTACTATTACTGTCCTTATTCCCGCGTCTTCATCGTTTTCAAATTTTTTTAAGCTATTATAATAGCACCGAGGTAAATGAGCAGTCACTTTAAATCTTTTATCAGTATGCCAGTGATAGAGAGATAAAGGATGGTCGAGGATGCTCCAGCGAAAAATTCCAATGGCATTATATGAGAGAATAATAAAGCGAACAATGTCCTATTTATCATTAATATTTACAGGCTCTCGGTAAAGCGAGACACGTTCGCGGCAAGCCGAGGTAACATTATTTTTAGATAGCACTTGATTAGTCGCCGTACACCACTTGCGCAACCGATTATCACCGTAAGGAGCTCGGGCGGCGACTAGTAAAACCGACATCAGAGCGCGCGACATATCGCCTAATGTAATCCGATCGAAGTATTCGAGGTAGTTTAAGCATCTTGCGCATGACGAGGAAAAGGCGAGCAGGATGTCTATGTCAAAGGACGATCTTCGGGATATAATTGCACGGAGGAGCGAGGCTCTCAAGACATTCCAGTACTTCGACGCCGAGGCCACGCCCGTGGTAAGTAGAACAACGTGTAGGCTTTTCGTTGGTAAATTAGCACCGGCTCCTCGTTAAGTCCTTGAGAGTATATTCGCGCGGATCCATTGTGGAGACCAGATGGTCGATGGTAATCCCATTACGGGCGTCACATTTACTACGGATACGTTATTTATACTGTTGGCGAGGATTTGGCTTGTCGTGTGCGATTGTGCGCACAAGTATTGGCTGCAAGCGGGAATCATTTGAAATGCGGTTGCAGTTCGCTTTTAAAACTCCTTTAGAATTTGAAAAGTCTTTCGAGGGAGAAAATTATAGCGAGTTTTGGATGTACAGTTGCTGCGTGTAACGATGATTCGCGATGATCTCGTTAAACGTGAATGATTCTTTTTTTTTTTTTTTTTTTTGAAACCTTCGTTTGTATGGTTAGAGGAAGGAATAAGTGTTTTTTAGTGTTGTATATTTAAACATTTTTTTTAAAGTAAAACATTAAGTTTTGAGTGACGTCGTGTGAAAGTGATAGAGACTAATAACTATTTATGTGTTTTGTGTAATAAAATTAAATAAAAAATCATATGTATTACGATTTTTTTTTATTTTTTTTTTTATTTTTTTTTATCTTGCCACCAATTCTTTAATTTCTCTTTTCAGGAAACACCGGAGTTTTTGAAATTGAAACAGTTAAAGGCAACATCGGCTATAATAATCATAGCCTACATTCCAATCGATGCTACGAGGTAATTAAAATCAAAATTCATACGGATTGATTATCATCATAATAATTGAGAGAAAAAAAAAATCTTTGTCGTGACGTGATTTGTTCTTTTAAATGAAACACCAGTCGTATATATAAAAATATTATAAAGCTTTAAATGAAATTCAAGAGAAATAAGGGACTTCATTTATTATTATTTTTGTTTTTTTTTTTGTTTTGTTTTTTTATTATTTTCAACTCAAGCGCTGACAGGCGCTCAAATAAATGAAAATAAGGTTGTCATGGATACAAAATAGAATCGGTTATACAGAAATTCATCATCATTTCGAGTTCCCAAATAAACTATTCTGGATCAAACTATCCAAATTAGTTCAATTTTGAAATATATTTTTTTCATCGTTAAAATAATGCAATTGATTCAGTAAATTAAAATGAAAAATTCTTTCGGCATGGAAATTCAACATCAGGTTCTCGATAAATCTGAAATGTAAGACGTCGGGAACTATCGCTCTGCACTTGAACCCTCGTCTCGATCGTGGCTACGTCGTCAGGAATACGAAGATCAAAGGATGCTGGGAGCAGGAAGAGACCTGCTCTCCAGTTAGTTCGAGAAATTACATTTTTCGTAGGAATTCATTTTTTCATCTTACCATCTTCTGTACGCTAAATGAATTTCAGGTACGAGGTTTCATTTTCTTTTCTTTTCTTTTTTTTTCTTTTTTTTTTCTCTGTAACTTTATCTTTAATTTTCCCATGAAAATCATATTAAAATGTAAGCATGATAGATATCGCGCATTACATACTGTTATAAAAATTTCTGTAATCGAAGCATTTAACACAGACAATAGACAGGAAAAAACGCGTCAAAATTATTCGTTAATATTCTATTTGCTGTAATAATCCGAGATTTTTTTTTATTTATTTTTTATTTTTCTTTGTTTTTTTTTTTTTTTTTTTTTTTTTTTCTCATACTAACGTATAAAATCACGAATGAATGAGGGAATAAAAAATTCAATTACACAAATGACAATATTTTCTCTCATGAACAGATAGCAATTGATGGAGAACACTTTTGCGCATTCGCCTACAGGATTCCACTCGAAGAGATCGTCGGACTCGAATTTAACGATGACATCGAAGAAATTAAAGTTAGGCAGACGAATATTTCTGTTTACCCAGACCCACAGATTTGCAAGCCAAAAAGAATTCTGGAGTTGATAGATGATCGACCATTAGACAGAGATCTAGTAAGCTCTATTTATATTGTTGTAATAATAGTAATAATAACAATAATACACAAGTTTTGCAGGTACTCTAATGGGCTTGAAATTATTTTTCGAAAGTTTATTATTATTATTGTTGTTATTATTGTTATTATTGTTATTATTGTTATTATTGTTATTATTGTTATTATTGTTATTATGTGGCGTTCATTTCAGGATTTACCAGTAATAATCGATTTAAAAAAAGGTTTCGATGTTGGAGCTTGTCTCCTAATTAAGGGAAGGCTTAAACTTTTACCTTACTCGTAAGTTTATAACATAATGTATATAAACATATAACACGTTTATTCACGAGGAAACATTCTTTTCCTTTGACTTTTTTTAGATTCTATATAAATCTACAAAAAGGAAAAATGATTTATCCTCATCCGATTATAGCCCTGCATTTAAATCCTCGATATCATTATGGGAATCAACCCGCTTGTATGGTTATGAACAGTTGGAGCAATGGAACGTGGGATTCGGAGGAACGTCATCAAGGCCAGAACTGGACTCCTGGGCGAGAATTCTTGTTAACGTAATTATTAATTATTATCGTAGAACGATTCATTAATTAAAGCTAAATTTCTCGTATCTAGACAATTTTCCAGCAGGGATAATTACAATTTTACAAACCGCATCGCAATAAGATAATTGTTCGCATTCGTTATAAGCATTTGTAAAAGGATAGTCGCGTCATAGTCACGATAGTCCCCCCATCCCCAGCCACATCGCCCGTAGTCTAGAAATTTTTTTAACCAAATTCATCATGAGAGATCATAATTGTTGTTACAGAATACGTTGTACGTACGATGGCTACGTGATAAGTCTAAGCGATAAGATGATCGGCGAATTCAAGCATAGACTACAGCCATCGATTATTGACACTATTTGCATCACCGGAGATTTGGTATTACACGAAATGCTCATTACTTACTAAACAAAAGAAACCAAGAAAAAAAAAACAACAACAACAACAACAACAACAACAAACTCTGATAATTTAATACTTTAGTAACGATATAAACGAGACACGGAGGTTCAGAGCATTTTAACGAGCGATAGTAAATACTGACCACAAGGGCTTTTACCACAACAAATTCATTAGAAGAAGCGTTTGTTTAAACGACGACGAATTAATTAATATCAATATTTAATCTTGCAATGAACGAGGCATATTCGACAAGATCGTTCCGAAGGCGATTTATCATTTCTTTTTTTTTTTTTTTTTTTTTTTTTAATCCTCAAGTCAAGTCTTTATCAATCAAGTCAAGTCTTTATCAAGTTTGCAATCTTCGCTTTGGGCGAAGTAATTTTTTTATATATATTTTTCCCTCTCTGTGCTCAACGTATGCATCTTGTCGAATTGTCTCTACAAAGTCGTAAACTTATATCTAATCTTTATTATTATTTATTTATTTTTTTTTTAAATACTTTCCAATAGCAAGTAAAAAAAAATTGTTAAATCTATGTGAAAGAATTTAAAATGAAAGAATCTTGATAGATTGAAAAGTGAGAAGAAAATTCTAATGTAAGTAAATTATTTAAAAAAAAAAAAAAAATGAAAAGAAAAGGAATAAAGAGAGAGAGAGAGAGAGAGAGAGAGAGAAGGAATTGTCAATTTTTATAGTGTGCTAGAATAAGTGCTTTAAAAACATTGTTCAAAATCACAGAAAAAAAGTTTTTCCGAATTTTTCTCATGATATATTATTCTACTAATAGAAACAAAGGAGTATTCCCATGGTATTTATACAATCGTTTTATATAATAATTTGTTAGTATATTTGTATTTACATGTAGCGTATTTATGAAACTGAACTTATACGTGTTTATAGCGTAAAATGATGTTTTCGAATGTAATAAAAGCGCATTTTTTCTATTTCGTCGATATCTCGTTATTTGTCAAAATATAATTTTCTAAATCCTAGAAGAAAAAGGAAAATATTATATTGTTATGTTCTTATGTTCTTTTTTTTCTATTTTTTTTCTTTCTTTCTTTCTTTCTTTCTTTTTTTTTTTCTAAAAAAAAAAACCGTATAAATCGATTACTAGCTATGCCAGTAAGGGATATTGTCGCTTGAAAACGTGAATCTTTTAACACGCACACAACTAATGGCCATTATAATGAACACAAGACAAAATATTAGAAAGACTAATCGATCGATAGCTGTTGCAAGGATCATCCATTCCAAATTCACGATGGTTTTACTAGAGGATGGAGGCGTCAACGATTGCTGGCTGTTATTGAAGCTCGCAAAGGATGTCGTTGATATCGATATATCCATCAAATGGTTCTCGCACATTTCTTGTTCAGTCGCTGATTTTTGAGATTCAATCTGTAATTTTTTATTATTTCAAATAATTAAACTCCCGTTCAATCCGTTTCTTATATATTTATATTGATTTTATATAAATTTATAAACAACAATTGAACGTCATTATTCGCCTAATAATAATAATTAATTTACAAATTTATCACACTCGCGTTATAATGATTAATGGGCAACAATGGTTAAGTGAAAGATATACATCAAAGTTTGACCAACCTCTTGAATAATGTGCCCGAGACCTAAATATCTTCCTGGTTTTCCAAGTAGAAAGCGCCTTATCGCTCGTGGAATAGTTGTATAATATGCAAATTTATTTATATTTATCACAAGAGTGGAAATAATCAACGATATGGTCGCTTGATAAAGACAGGCGCTGTAGAACCTAACTAAAACAATGCATCAAATGTTATTAATTAAACATTATTTTACGAATTAGCATGAAACAAATACTTCAAAATTCTTTTTCTAATTCCATCCCATTATTAATTAGAGAAAATTATTAGAGTAAATTTTTAATACATAAAGCATATAAGATATAATTAAGCTACCTTCTATCACAATGTTATGGCATTTTAATTAATTAATTCAAGTGGAAAATTTTTTAAAATTTTCTCAACGTAAAATCAACTCGATTTCCACGTACGATCGAAGCTTTAAGAATATTCGATAAGTTTTATCTTACCAATAATAGGCATACTATCAAATCGTGGTGGTACTTTGTATCCAAAATAAATTAGATAGAGCACGACGATGAGAATAATGCAGGCGTTTATGATAAGTTTTATCTCGCTTTGAGGTCGCAGCCAAAACATGATTAACGATAGGAATACGATTGCTAGCCGCAAAGAGAATAAGTACATTAATATATTGCAATACAATCATTATTAAAAATCGTTTTATCAATTTTAATGCATTAGCCATTGAATGATGGCATTCGCTATTCATGCAAATTATTGAAAAATAATTAACATCTCCGCAACCAATAGCCAAATAAACGATTATCAATCGACGAGTTTATCAATCATTACGTTGCTCATTACGTAGTATATATTTTTAATAAAGTTATTCGTTAATGAGAAGATAAGATGATCATTTGGCTACGAACGGATATTTTCGCAAATTTTTATTACTTTATCCAAAATTTACTTACGTATTGTAGGTACGAAGATAATGTGATAGTAAAGTTCGGAGGAGCGCGAAAGCTCGAATTCAAAGTCCAAGGTGACGTAAGGCTCGGGACAGCAGTCAAAGACCTCTTCTCGTCGGCTAGCCGTTATATTCTGTATGACCCATTCGTTTATCGCAACGTAATCATCTAGCTACGACGATATTGCATTTTTGAGTTTTTGAGCGGCCGAGGAAGGGATGGCGTAAAAATTACAAAGGGCGAAATTAAATTAAATATTGGAATGTTATAATAAGTGGGCCGCGAGATTAATATTCTACGACAATTTTCTTATTATATAATTTATTTTATTGAGCAAATCCAATGGCGTTAATGCGGTGACGCGTGATCACAATCAACGGTCTCGTTAATACACATTAAATTAACGTCAATTATCACAAGTCAATACGCATTGGAAATGTAGTCAAACCAATTGGAAATTTAGTTAAAAAATCTCAGATAAGGTCAATTACAATTGATATTGTTGAAACAAAAGCGAAAGCTTATAAACAGCACTCGTGATAAAGGTCTTAATTTATGAATTTTCATTATAAAACGATCGATAGCTAATTGAAATTCACTCCGGCTGAAATTGTTCATTTCAGCAATTGTTTTCTCATTTTCATTTGGCTACAGCCACGCGCGTATAAACAATAATAAAGTAGCATTAACGTCAACTCGGCTTCTCCACAAAACGAAAAATTGAAAAAGCAAAATGGTCACCGAACCAAGCTCAATTTCGCTATTTAAGCATCTGTGCGGAACTCGGTAAGGACTCTCGTAAGCATCGAGCGCGGCTGGTCTACTCACATCGACGCCGGAACTAAGCAATTTCAGATCCACTTGGGTGCCGTCGTATGTCCACGAACTCAAGCTGAGCCTGCACGTGTTCATTTCGAAGGGCCAGAAAGTGAAATCCAAATGACAGTAGCCGTGAAATATGGTGGGCGTAACCCATAGGACCATTCCTTGCTCGCTGACAATGCAATGCCTGTCACCGTAGTACTCCATACCGTGCGTCGCGCTAGAAATACACGTTCGTGTGTGCTTGACTGTTGCGATCCTCGCTAACAAACCGAGAGCGCGAGTACAATACAAATGGTGGGAGGGGTTTGGCGGGGGACGAGCGGGAGAGTAAGGTATATCCTAACAAATACCTGTTAATATTTTGGAAACCTTATAATCGTATTAATTTATTTGACAGCTCGCTTACGCTCTCGTGTACGCCAAGGGATGAAAGCGAATGAACGCGAATGACCTTGAAGCGCGCTTACCTGTTTAATAAGTATATATCGGGAAGCCAGATTTCGTGAGCGCCCAAATTCACCGTTTTCAGACCACCGTAATCCGATGAGTTCCACTTCAATTTATCATCGTTCCAAGTCTGACACAAAAAGCTTAATAACTTGGATATTCATTTGGAAAAGAGGCTGCAAATTATTTCCTCATGCAAGCGATTATCATAAATTTGTTACCATTACGACCCAGACGTTCGCAGCCATAACGTTTATCATGTCATCCTGAAGAAGCAAAGCGAGCAAATTTAATGTCCAACCATCTTGATAATATTTCTGCCAATTTATCCAACAGAGTGGCAACTATGTTGTTACTTACCACCTCGACGGTCTGAACATTAAGCTTGACGTTAACCGTTGTTGTATTCCAGTGCTGCGACGGTCTCGAGAACTTGTCGTACTTGGCAAGTAAGTTCTGCTTGAGTCGATCCGTCCATGTTTCGTTCCACGATGGGTAATCTACGATTGTTTATCAATTTTTCTAATCAGTCTGATAAAGCGCAAAGAGGCTTTGCTATTCTCGACCAGCATCGAGCGCTAATAATAATTCGGATAATAATGCGATTTGCCTTCGGTTGCCGTATTAATGCGGACACGCGGCTAATTGTCGGTCTACCAACGACTAGCTGCATCAATTAAATCATCATCTTACTCTAAACTAAATAATCATTCATATATATATATATATATATATATATATTTAGAAAGATTTCTTCGCCATTACATTGAGAAAGATTATCAAAGATTGTCCGGCATACGTGTCAAGGCATACGTAAATCATTTATTATACTGCTTTAACGAATTAGAAACACTGCCGATCTAGGATACTTTATGACTTAATGGACGACAATGAACCAGTAAGAATGATATTATTTCATTAAAGTGTAACGATTTACTTGATAATTCATGCATAATTATCAAAAGACGCACACTTTTTAATCATTAATGCTCATAAATTTTTCTAACTCGTACTAGTAAATACTATTGCACAATTTCCTTTCTGAAGAGCAAAAAAAAACTTGTATATATCCTCTATTGTATATGTGGCCGATATCATTCAGCGCTTCTAGATGATTTAGGCGAAGAAAAGGAGTAAGGGTCCAGTGGCCCGGACAAAATTAAAAAAAAAAAGAAAAAAGAAAAAAGAAAAAAAAAACTAGGTCTTTCGAGCAGACGATGACACAAAATTCGAAGACAAAAGGGAAGAGGGAGAGAGAGAGAGAGAGAGAGAGAGAGAGAAGAGAGCGCCAATTGTCAGCTCGGTACGCACATTGCAGATTTAAAGCGAATGGGGCCCGTAAGTGGATAAACGTCTCTAATGTAATAGGTCGGGTAAGGCTGAGCATGAAAATGTAAAAATATGTATAGAGGTCAGGAAGCATGTCCGACTCGATTTTCAAGATATCGACACGCTCTACAATAAAGCTATTTATCCCTATAAGTTGGTAGGTTTGTTTAGCCAGGACTCGCTGTAAATATTTAAGAATAATAAGGACTTAATATTATTTGTATTCACTATTGGAATGCACAGGGAAATTATCGACGAATGTATCAACGCTCTTCAACATCAACAATCTCAATGATATTAATTTGGCATTAAAAGGATTTCGATCCTTGCTCGATACTCGTTCAACGATCTCATTTAAGCGTTGCAGAATTTTATTATTATTTCAAGGCATCATAACGAATACAGTCACAATTACACTTACATACAATTTTTTAAAGAATTAATGTTTTAAGGCATAATTTTTGGCATAATAAGACTCAATGGTTTCTGTAATGGATGTACTTTTTAACGACTCTATTATTAATTACTATGTAATTAATATCTCTTTTCATATTTACATATGAACCCTGTGACTATTTTTATAACGAGCAAGTTATTTAAACAAATATTCGACGATATGCGTGGAAATAATCAAATTATGATATAATAGATGATTTGGCCATGATTTAATTATCACAACCATCTTGTTATATTTTTTAAAATTTCTTTATCTCATATAAAATTAACGGAGCACAAATTCAAGAGATTTCTACATACGTATATGTGTATATGCATATATATATATATATATATATATATATAGAATATTTTTAAGGACTACTAGAAATAGGAATAAAATTACTTTTATCCAGTCTTGTAATTCAAATTAATTTCAAATTGATGATTCAATATTCGAGATATCGAATCCCGCGCATATAAACGGATAAAATAGCCTGCCAATGTGTCGCGTGTCCGTATAAAGTAATCGTTATAAGGAATCGAGGGCACGATATCGAGTATTTCAAGATTTTCCGACGGGAGGATTCGTTAATGTGATACTTGAAACTCCAGTAGCCGCGAGCGGTGGAACCGCATTGATCTAAAGTGGCCGAGAGGTCGGGAGAGCGATCGGCCTCGGGAGGTCGCACGTATCTAACGCACCAAAGGGCTCGCCGAGGTGAATTTGACGAAGCGGGGCAGACTTACTCTTGGCGAGGGTGAGGTTGGCGGCGAGGACGGCTGCGAGTAACGATGCGAGTGCGAAGAGGCAGGCGAGGCTGCGGATCATCGCGATCGCGATCGCGCGACGACTGGCCGCCGAGGCTGCGGACGACGACGCCCGCGCCACCGCCGAGGTGCGCGAGGCCCTCGATCGGCCACTACCGGAGCGAGTGATGAATCGTCTTGTCTCCTACCCGGCTTCTACCGAGCGGCCTTGAGTCTCGATTCGGCTTCCTTTCTCAATTGCTTAATCTCGACTGCGCCTTTAATGGACTCGAGGGCCGTGTAGGAAGGTTCTGCGTAGCTTGCGCGACGCGGACTTTTGTCGTCGGCGCCAAAGGTCCGAGTAAACGAGAGGAAGGAGAACGTCCACTCGATCTTTTTCTATTTTCCCTCGTCGTCGTCGTCGTCGTCGTCGTCGTCGTCGTCGTCATCGCTGTCGTCGTTGTTATTGTTGTTGTTGTTGTAAATGATGGGGGTAGCGGTGGCTTTTTTTTACTTATTATCGACGGACAAAATTAGTCCGAGGCTTCTTCGTTTCTCATTGAGTTTGAGTTTTCAGATTATACGCAGACGATGGTAAAGAAAAGCGTGTGTGGAACAAGATCCACCCATCGGGTCGTAAAATTGATCATCTCGCGAGAACAACGAATTGACGAATCGCTTCTTTTTCTCATACTATTGCGAGTTAAATACATAGCATTGTAATCGGTTAGTTAAATTTTCTCCATTAATGGTGGACTTTTGTATTTAAAGAGTGAATGACAACGAGAGATGAGGCATACAAAGAAGATAATTCGTATCGTATTTAGTTATACGGCTCGCCTACTATAATTATAGTACTAGTTTGTCCTTGTCAATAATAACTTCTGCCATAGAAGATATTTTACTTGAAATATCGCGATTATAACAATGAATTGATTATTACAATTTTACATAAAAAAGGAACAATAATAATAATAATAATAATAATAACAACAACAACAACAACAACAACAAAAACAACAAAAACAACAAAAACAACAATAACAATAACAATAACGACAATAACAATAACAACAATAACAATAACAATAATGATGATAATGATAATAATGATAATATTTAGATGTAATGTGCATATGTATGTAGAATGTGATCGTCGTAGGCTTCTATTACTAGGGCATCGATGACACAATTTAATCACAAATTAATATAATTTCGAATTTTCATCAGATTCACAGTCTCATGGCATCTTAATTTTAATGTAAGAAGAGAATCTCGAATGCAGAATAACATTTTAACGATGCTGTATTATATTACGATAATGGCATTAATTGGTATTTATTTGATTGGCGAATGGATTTTAAGTTGAAAACAAAAATTATTTATTTATATCTTGTGGAATTTTATCTCTGAATTACCTCGCTAAAACTCTCTACGAAGTTCTTTTAATTTCAATAATATTTATACTTCCGGCCTATTTTCATTTAGGTGGCTTAATTTTCCTCACAATATTAATTGAAGTATAGAGTTCACCTATGTCATTATTAGATAATTTCTCACGTACCCCAGTTTCCTTGCCCTGTCTTGTCCTACATGCACGTTTTTACTTAATTAGTCATTTTAAATAATAGCCAATTTTTATATAAGGTCGTCGTAATTTATTCTAATCTCGATAAAGTTAAAATTTTCAATTTCGAAACAGTGTCGGACGGCTTTAGTTAGACACGATATATATCCGAAATAAACTTTTATTCTTATTTATTCTATTATCTACCCTATGATAACAAATAGAAAAAAAAAAGTATGTACATATATATGTATATATATATATATATATATATATATATATATATATATATAAGCATATGGTATGAAGGCATCATAATAGGCAGGAGGCGTTCGTTATATTTTTTCAAGCTGATATATTTCTTATTTCAAGAACAAATGATACTAAAAATAAAATTATCTACCAAGATTTGAGTGAAATGCTAATGCGAGTTTTCCACGAATTTCTCTATCGCTTACTTTTTCGCAAGTACATGTTTTTTAACGATCATAAAAACTATAAGTACTTCCGTTGAGATATTTCAATAATAGAAATTTTTTTTTTTAACTTATACCCGGCATATTTAATTAACGTATTAACAATGTTTAATACTTAAATGTATTCATTTTTTAATTTATATATATATATATATATATATATATTTTTTTTTTTTTTATGTAATATAAAAGTTGGAACAATTATTAAAGTAATGTTATGAAAAGAATAGAAAATAGCTCTAATTATAATTTAAATTCTTTTATCAATGTGAAGTGATGAAATCAAATCATATGTTGCTTAAATCTCTATATCTCTCTCTCTCTCTCTCTATGAAAATTGAAAATTTTCATACGCTTTATATATATTCAAAAATTATATATTATTTATATTTTATATATATTATATTTAATTAAATTAAACTAATATATATATATATATATATATATATATATATATATATTAAAAATTCAAATGTTTTTAATAATTATAAAAACTTTTTGCAGCAATTACAATTTACCTATTTAGAAATTAATATCTTATCTAGGCAGTGTCAATGTGCTTTTTTCATTTTCATAAGCTTATTTTATATATTATCCTTTTGTATTTTCTATTCATATTGGAATACCATATTTTATGCAAAGTTAGTTGATTATCATTATTTTATTATTATAATTTATGAACTATAATTAGTAATATTACAGGCTTACTAGTGAATTAAAACTTTGTCCAAATATTCTCCTACAATTTAATTGTGACCTTAGGGAACAATTTCACAAACTCATGCAAATTAGATGATTAGGCGAATGTATAATTTAAAAAATTCGTCGAATGATTATTCACTCTATACTGGTAAATCTAGCGCTGTGAAATTAAAATATTTCCATTCGGGATATATGTTTTCTTAAATATAAAAAAAAAAGAAAAGAAAAAACATTATTCCTTATCGAGTAATTTTCTTCGCTATACCCACTATATCGCTATATCACGTTGACATAAGTAGAAACTAATTTTATGCAACAAAAGAAAAGAATCAAAACAGAAAAAAGAAATTCATAAAACACAGTATTGTAAAAAATGATGTTTCGCTCGAAATTTAGAAATGAAAGCCGCATATTCGTTAAAATATACTTTCCAATAATTTTCCCATTACTTGCAATAGTTGAGTAAGCGAAGTCTATTTGCAATTATCTTACTATTAAGACAATTGATTAAATAATCCAAAGGAAGTTGTTCGATCGATCATTCGATTGAATATTGAAATATATTTTAGTGAGCTTAGCGGCTCCCATAGCTGCTCTCCTCTCCTTGCTCAAATATATTTTATTATTTTTTCATATATTTGACCTTTGTGCTTATTGGACTTTATACCTAAATTATCTGTTCAATCAAAAAGAGAAAGAAGAAGAAATAAGAATGCGTCACTCACCGAGGTTCGGGACACATTCGGGACACATTCGGGACACATTCGGGACACATTCGGGACACAACGTACACATTCCGCCGAGCCATGCAATTTAAAAGTTTTACGCCTCGTCTTCTTCCACGGTCCCTCCTTGGACATTTTTTTTTTTTTTTTTTTTTGAGCGACGCGCCAGATCACATCGACCAATAACTGCCGCAATTCCAGATCACAGGCGCGAGAAATCCCGGCGATCTGAAATCTGCCTCGACGACTGCAATTTGCAAATATTAAAAGCAGCTGAGCTGAAAATATTAGTATTGCAGTTCGCTTAGACGAGCGGGAATGTTGGACCACAGTGTTAATAATACGTTATGACTCTGAGAACGTTGTTTATAATTTTATATTATTGATAGCTATTAATAAATATTTTAATATTTATTTCATGTTCAAAGCTAACCTCAACAGTAATGGGCAATTATGCGGGTGATATTATAATATGGTAAATTGTCTCCTCCTACATTATTTTTATCTTCCTTTTAATTAATGTAAAATTCACCTGGCAAACGTGTATGTGTGCGTGTGCGTGTGCGTGCGTGCGTGCGTGCGCGTGTAATTATAGCTTGTATTGAAAAGTCGGATTTTGGTTTATTATTCATTTTTGCCTGTCCTTTCATGAGATTTAATATTTAATCGATTGTCGAGCGGTTAATTTTTTCTGTATTTGATATATAATAATAATTAAGGAAGATTTAATTATATATATATATATATATATATATATATATATATAAAGAAAAAAAACATCGTTTATTTATTGTTTATAAAGATATATTTCTAACAGAAAGGCTTCAATAAAAATATCAATTTAATTTTTTAATATTTATTGAAATATTTGAGAATTTATATATATATATATATATATATATATATATATATGATTAATGTATGTAGATAAGTTTAGCCCTGGAATGTTCACATGTAATTTGTCTTTATAAAATAAGATGTGAAATTTTATACAAGTATTTATTAATTTTTTATTTTGAATTTTTTTTTTCTTTTGCAGTTTGCTGGTTTTATTTTCCGTATGCTTTTTATATGGAACAACGCATGTAATCAAATCGTTCATAGGAAATGGAGAGAATATTATAAGTTCGCACACATATTACAGTTGGATTATAAGATTTTGTTTGAATTTTTCTGGATACGCTACTGTTTTATTGCCAGGATACTTGATATATAAATACGTTCGAGTTAGTAAATATCTTCAAAGAAAAGGTAAGCTAAATATGTAAAATTTATCATTTACGATCTAAATCGCCATAAACGATAAATTGGGTAAAGTAATATTTGATGAGTACCAAATTTTGCGTAGGCAAAGGATGTATACCAAGATTAATACACTCTTGCTTTTTGGGAAGCGGAGAACAAGGATTGTTAGATTCGTCCCATTATTCTCCGACGCCCGCGACTAGTCATCCGCCAAGCACGTTTTTCCAAGATGCTTTATTATTAACGCATTGCTTTTTTGGACTGCAAGTTAGTTATTTAACATGGGGTTACTTACAAGAGAAAATTATGACTCAGGTATTAAAGTAGATGCTTTCTTTAACACGTACGATACAATTACTTCCATTGGTGTATAAATAATTTTTGTACTATTTAATCGACATTTGCATAAAAGTGACAGTTGTACATAATAATTACAGGAATACGACGACGGACAAGGTAACAGGAGTAATTTCAAGGATTCACAATTCATAGTTTTTATAAACAGAGTCCTGGCTGTTGTCATATCCGCAGTCTGTTTGCTTATTATTAGACAGCCGCCGCACACAATACCATTATACAAATATACATTCTGTTCGCTTTCTAATGTTTTAAGTAGTTGGTGTCAATACGAAGCACTTAAATACGTCAGTTTCCCAACTCAGGTACTGGCAAAGGCATCAAAAATTATTCCAGTAATGATCATGGGTAAAATAATATCGCGTACAAAGTATGAGTATTACGAATACGTCACGGCAGTATTAATATCTATTGGAATGATGATGTTTATGCTTGGTAGTACAGATCACGAGAATGGTATATAATAACTATGTTAATCCATTAAAGTTAATCCATTATATAATACCTTGTCATAACATTTGAATAAGTAATTTCGAATGCTTCCAGATGGTGCTACTACATTCTCTGGTGTGATACTTTTAGGTGCATATATGATGTTAGATAGTTTTACAAGTAATTGGCAAAACGCATTATTTAACGAGTACGGTGTTACTAGCATTCAAATGATGTGCGCTGTTAATTTATTTTCGTGCCTATTAACGGCAACTTCTCTTTTTCAACAATCGAGTATCATGTATTCTTTAACTTTCATGGCAACGGTATGTCCATCCTTATTGAAAATAATTTAAAATTTTTAATTTCTTATCGCTTAATTTTTAAGCTCAACGTACTCAAACATATTGCTCAATTGTTTTAGTATCCTAATTTTATACTGGATTGTCTTTTAATCTCTATATTCTCCACTACTGGTCAGCTGTACATATTTTATACAATTTCGAATTTTGGAGCCGTTACTTTCATAATAATTATGACAGTACGTCAGGTAACGTATTTATCAATATCAACATTATTTATAGTATTACGCCCAAATAGCGATAATCGTAACTGTTTATTAAAGTAACTAACTACTTGTATTTCTATGTTTTTCTAGGGTTTTGCAATACTTCTATCGTGCCTATTATATCATCATTATATTACACCGCTCGGTATATTTGGAGTATTTCTAGTATTTATAGCAATATTTTTACGTATTTACTGCAATAATAGACTACGTTCTATTAAAAAACGACGAGCTGAGGCTATTAGTATAAAAAATAAGTTTTAACTAAACACATTTTAAAAACTTTATTTATTTGCTAATAATGATATTGTAAATACATACTTAGGATAACTACTTAGTACTTTAAAAATAAAATGATAAAAGGGTCAAAAACCTATTGTAAAATTAATGACAATATGTGATGAATGATTTAGTTTAAACAATAAATATACATGATGATGATAATGTGACAAACAAGCTTTAAAATAAGTATTCGGTAATAAATATATAAATATAAATAATGACTCATGCTTAATCTTTGGTCTATGATAGTATACGTGTTATATAAAAATTCAGCCTTCTGGAGGTGGTCGTCTATAAACTGCTACCAGAAACATAATCGCAACGATAAGTTCCGACGCAAGTAGTACAATTTGTATTCCACATAAAATTTGTTCCAATCTTAAGGTTCTGTCTTGCCAGAATAAAAAGTAAAGAGTAGCTAAGGTACTAGGCACGTTCAAGGCTATTCCTAATAGAAATGGTAAACCATGATCCAATAAATTTCCTTTTCTACCCAAGTAAATTCTTATGCCTTCCGTGGTTATAAGAAAAAGTAGCAGTGCAAACTCCATTGATATCGTACCAAAACTGGTAGGGAAGTTATATGCTTTGACACATTTCATACAGAACTCGCAAGTTGCAAACATTCCAAAGTAAAACATATTTAGATACAGAAGCACTTGATATAATAATGAAAGTATAACTGCTGACGACATTTGACTATTATTTTGTAAATCAAACAAATAACGTATATTAGTTTTGTTAATTCTTATTAAATTTGCACAGGAATTTTCTTTTAAATGCGTAAGTTTTCACAGATTATTTGACGATTTAGAGAAGTAAAAAAAAAAGGTATTTCAACCAAAACTTAAAAGCTTTTCTTCAATCAAAAGACGAAAATCTTCTTTTTACATTTATAGCGTCCTTAACCTATACAATCTAAATTAGGATCTAAGGTGTCATGGCGACAAAAGTGCCGACTGCCCATTATCTAAATTTGGTCAACTTAAATTAGTTCTATCTTTAATTTAAATATAACAAATTCAGATGATTTATAAAATCAGTATATACAGTAGACATTTAAATTATAATCGAGTTGAGTATTTCCTGTTAAATCTTACCTTCCAGCAAATAAAGTATTCATTTAATTTGGATTTCTAATAATATACCATTGTTTTTTTTTCTCTTTTTTCGGGGCGAGGGCGGGAGGGGGGGTATAATTTATACAGCCACACATACGCACGCACACGCACACACGCACACATATATATATATATATATATACAAATTTAAAGAAATTATTTTGTGGCATCATTCTTTCAAATATATTCAACGATATTGTTTGCTGATTTCCTAACTTTACGATAAAAATTACATTTTAATGATTTAATGCTTATTACCAATGCAATAGAATTGACCATTTCCATTGCATAAATCGTATTTTAATCTTACGTGTCAGAATTCACGTGGATGATAAAGTATCAAAGCTCAGCAGTATAAAGAAGCAATCGTGGCAACTGTATGATTAAGAGAATTAGAAGAAACATTTTGCAATTGAATCTTGAAAGCCACGAGAAAGCGATAAGAAGTTGCTGCACTTACGAGTGCTTTAAGAAATATTAGCAAGGGAGTCGATTAAATAGTTAAAAAATTGTTCAATTATAGTAAGAGCAGAGAAACGGTAAAGCAAATAGAAATTAAGCTTGACTAGAAAAATTGAGTGCTATACTGGCCTATTGTATTTAATTATTGCATCGAATATATAAAAAATTAAGGTAATAATGAGTAAATAATTAGTAAACCACTGTCAATTTATTTAATTGTATAGACTTATAAAAAAATATAATAATAATACGTTGTTTTAACTTTGCTAAACGAATAGCAGATGTTATGAATTATATGATATGTTAGTAGATAATGTAATTGCAATTATTCCGAAAATTTACGATGAAATTCTTTAAAAATAGTATGTAATTAATTAATTTAGTTAGATAGCTAAATATTTCAATGATAAGGCCATTAAAGGATAGTTAGTTATTATAAGATACAACAATCTTTATGTTATCAGATGGAATTCAAAATTGCGATTACAGTCGATTTTGAAATGTCATGAAAATAAATAATCTAAAGGAATGAATTATAAGTGTGAATTTATTTTTCGTTATATTCTCGTTTTTTCTCAAAAAGCTGAATTTTATTGAAAACTTCAACATACTGTACATAACAAAACTTTATAAAGAATCGGTTGAGCATAAAATATGGCAGATCTACGAGCTTGTTTCCTTAATGCCAAGGTAGACGATCATTTTAATTAATAATTTAGAATATTAAATAGATTATTTAAAAAAATAACGATGATGTATTATGTAGTTAGAATTTATGATGAAATGTTATCGATTTTATGGCACTTAGAAAACGTATTTACGTATACTATATTTAAAATTTGATATCGATTAGAAGGAATTTATTTTTATTTTAATACCTATTAAAATAAACAATTTATGAAAATGGCAACTTAAAATTTAAAAAAAAAAAAAAAAAAAAAAAAAAACCATACACCTTGATAGAAAAAATAAGAAATTAATATAGCATGAAATTTACAGAAAAAGTATATAAAATATTAATAAATAATAAATGAAATGTATTTTTTCTTTATCCTAAATATCGTTAATCTTATCTCCATGGTTTTGTGACTAACGATTATTTTTATAACTATGTTTATACAATAACTGTATCTGTACAATAAAAAAAAAATTACCATAAAAAATATTTCTTACTTTTTATTTTATTGCAAGACAGTCACGTTAAAGTTTACGATAAGTTAGATTTGGAATATAATGTTAATGCACCCAAGTTGTAGGCAGTATGTAAATTGTTTTTTTTTTTTTTTTTTTTTCAATGAAATCATTTAAATAGGATTATTTTATGAAATCTTTTTATTATTATTTTTAAAAGAAAGAAAAAAGAATGAATAGTGAATATTATTTAGAATAAACAATTAAGAATCTTTTTTCCAATTAAAATTTCGAAATTGTATAAAAGTATATATTTATATTGCGCATTTGGAAGATGATTTTTCTGAATTGTGATATTAAACGAATAATAAAGACTTTATGAATGAAAATTTTTACTTAAACAGTGCATTCGTTCAATTGAAAATGCATATTATACAAATTTTCTTTATCAATATAATATCATATGGGAATTATATTTTTAGCATATTATCATACTTTATTGCATTCGTTATTTTATTTAAACTGAAAAGAAAAGCAGAAAATATTATAATAAATCGTAAAATTATAGAATATAATTACTTTATAATTTATAATACTTTAACAAATTTTCAATATTACATTAAATTTTGACGACAAAAGGTTAGTTGAATGCTGATTGATTTAATAAACAAGATAAGGAGAAAAAGAATCAAACATAATGAGCAACGTAGGGATTCAATAATTATTCAATGTAGGCAAGTATTTCATTACAATTGGGTATTGTTAATAAGTAATTATCAAAGCAGAAAAATTTATTATCAATTTTCGAACTATGAGCAGCATATTTTATAATCTACTCCAGGTGCGTAAATACATTGGGTAATTATTTATGGAAAAAATTTTGTCAATAACTACCTGTCGATGCAAGTTTACATATAATTAAATCAATTATTATGAAATATAAATAAATTAATAATAAAGTAAATAATAAATTGATCTGAATGATATTTGTTTTAAAATATTTATTGTACTATAATTTTCATTTGTCTTTTCTTTTAATAAGTAATACATATCAAGATTTATATCGAACGAAATCTTGTAAAAACAGATTTGAAAAAATGTAAAAAGTAATTCAATGTTAAACAAATAAATTATATGGTAAAATTTACTGTATTATAAAGAGTAAAATAATTTTATATAATATTAACTTAATTAATGTGCAAATGACATATAATCATTAAAAATTAATTTTCGTTAGACTGAAATTGTTTTTATATTAATACGATGATTTAAAGAAAGCTAAAAATATTTTTTCTGTTATCGTCGTTAAGTAAATTAAAATAATTATTCGTATAATTGTTACTTAATACCTTAAAGGTTTTCACAACATTGAACACGTGATTATGTATGAAAATTTCAAATAATCAGTTCTATTTGAATTTATAACAAATATAAAAACATTTCAGCGATTTATAAAGTTGTTCAATAAAGAAGTTAAATTACAAATTAGCCATTATATATAATTTTAAATATGATATTAATTATTTTAAAATATTAATATTATCATGCATTACGAATAGAATGTATTTCAACCAAACTACATGAAATTATTTGAATTTTAGTTTATTCGTATTCATTTTGTAAATAACAAAAATAGAAGCATCATTTTGAAGGAAGAGTAGGATATATATTTTTTTTTAATAAAATCTTTTTTAGTATAATTAAAAATTATAATAATTTAAAATTTTAAAATAGCATTATAATAATCTTTTTGTAATATTATACACGATTGGTATTAAAGATAACATTTGATAAGCATTTTTTTAGTTATATATATATATATATATATACAATTTTTTTTTTTTTTTTTTTTTTTTTTTGAAAACGTATCTACTCCAATATTTAATAAATTTTATAAACTGTTTACTTTGAGTGCGAATACACTTTTGTCTATATATTATATGCTTAATATAACAGATACCATTAATGTATTTTATATTGAATCATATAAAAGTGTCGATAGCAAAATGTTTAATATGTAAAATTTTATTTTTCGTATAAATTTAATTTTTACATTAATCTAACTTTGTTAGCAATACTTTCAATAAAATGTGATTATTAAATTAA